TGATGATGATGATGATGATGATGATGATGATGATGATGATGATGATGATGATGATGATGATGATGATGATGATGGTGGTGATGGTGATGGTGGTGATGGTGGTGGTGGTGATGGTGGTGGTGGTGATGGTAGTGATGGTGGAGATGGTGATGGTGGTGGTGGTGACGATGAGGAGGAGGAGGAGGAGGAGGAGGAGGAGGAGGAGGAGGAGGAGGAGGAAGAGGAGGTGGAGGAGGTGGTGGTGGAGGAGGAGGAGGAGGAGTCGACCCCTAGCTGGGAGCGTTGGCGCTGCGACAGGGTGTTGCGTCAACTCGTGCTGCTGCAGATTGTCCTGTGGCCGCATCCAGCACGCGCGAGAGTTACACACTTTGACATTACGCCTCAAAGCTGCACAGCGCCGCCTGTCCTTCCCGCGGCAGCTGCCCCGCACAACACGCGCCGGGCTCTTGACTGGGAGCGATGCTGGCACTCGAGGAGAAGCCTCGCACCGTGGTGCTGCTGTGGCCGCAGACCAAGCTCGATGGCATGGAGCAGGAGCCAGAGGCGGGTGAACGGTGAGGCAGGTAACGGTGTGGTGCGATGCGACATTGTAGGCGATGTTGGCCTCTGAATCAGCCTGCGCTCTTTGATAGGGAATCTCTTCGTGCAGCCGGAGCCCGCATCGAAAATGGACTGCCACAGAAAGCAGCATCTGGAGCACACCGTTAACCTGGCCACACCTTTGCCCGGCCTGGGAGGAGATCGTCACAAAGTTCGAGGACAGCTACCTCGAGGTGAAGGCAAGGAAGGAGATCTACCTGACTGGGGAAGACCTCGAGAGGTTCTTTGGCTTCCTGCCCACGGCGGAGCGCGAGGCCCCCACGGCGAGCGCATCCGCGGCGGTCTACCTGAGCGAAGTGCTGGTCCTGGAACACCTCGACGGCGACGCGATCGAGAGGACGCTCGCCATGCAGCCGGAGTTCGGCACCTTCGGCGCGGGCACGCCCCGCGTGTACTGCAGCGCCAGCCCCTGGGACGCCGTCCGCGACCTCGAGTGGTTCTTCCCCCACCTGGATGCCCTGCCGGTCGAGAGGACCCTGGCGCTGATCAAGCCGGACTGCGTCGGGAAGGCCCGGCGGCGCGCAGGGTGGAGCGCTGGGCAGCCAGGGGCGCTCGAAACTCCTCGGCGGCTCCGTTTGTCGCCACCCACCAAAACACCCCAACCCAACCCGAAGGCCTCACTTTGCCCTCCATTTCCAGTGGGGGGGGGGTCCGGGAACATCGAAAAGACACGTATGGAGCCCATACCCCCCCCAACCCGAAAGTCGGGTCTTCGGGTTGGGTTGGGGTGGTCTGGTAGGTAGTCAGTTTGCCGTTTCGCTCTGCTGTTCTCTTGGCGCTCGTCGAGGCCAGGGGGCAGCCTGCAGGCGCTGCGCCTCGTCGGCAGCGCTCCCAGGGAGTGCCGTGCTCGTCCGAAGCGGCAGCCGCCAGAGGCCCGAGCTGCGCGGCCCGAGGCCCAGGCCCCCCGACGTCGTGAGCAGCTCGCGACGTCGGCCCCCCGAAGTCTGCCCTGACTCCGGGTCCGCCCTGCTTTGGGGAAATTCGTAAGTGGGGCTTGGAATTTCCTGACACTCTGTCCTGTGCACGTGCTGGAGCTCTCAGGATGCCCTCCGCCGTCAGTCCCCCCTTTCAGCTTCGCGGCTGCTGTGTGTATGGGCCGGCCGGCCTGTGCCTGTTGTAGCTGATTAGCCTAGTTCGCGTCCCAGACTCTGCTCTTGCCGCCTGACCTCTGTCTCGCGGCCGCGACCAAGAAAAAGGGCAGCCCTGACTCCGGATCCGCCCTGCTTTGGGGAAATTCGTAAGTGGGGCTTGGAATTTCCGCCTTACTTTTCGAGCCCCGCTGATGCCAATTTCCGCCCTGCTTTTCTGTTGCTGTTTCCGTGGGTTTCCGCCCTATTTGATGTTGGGTGCAGCGATTTCCGCCCTACTTTTTCGGCCTCTTATAGGTGGATTTCCGACGCAATTTTAAGTTGGAAAAGAGCCAAAGTAGGGCGGATCCGGAGTCAGGGTGGAGACCTTCCCTTGGGCCGGTTTTTCATCCCGAGTCGTTCTTTGGACGCTCCCGAGGCCCGGCGGGGGCCTCCGGAGGCCGAAAGTTCTCAAGAACCTTCGTCGTGAGGTTCTCGCGACGTCGGAGGTCTGGGGAGAGCCCCGGGGGAGGGGGGGACTGGCTCGGGGGGGGGGGGGGAACAGCGCCGGTCGGGCTCTGCGTGCCCTGGCCTGCCCCAGAGCGCGCGGGCACGCTGCCGCGAGGGCCCGTCGCCCATGCGTCGGCGCCGCGTCGCCGGTGCCGAGTCAGCGTCTCTCCCCCCCCTCCCCGGGGCTGGTCTCCCCCCTCTTCCCCAGACCCCCTCGAGTTATGAAAGAATCACGACGGGAGGTTGTTCCTTCTTTTTGGCCTTCGGGGGCCCTTCCCGGCCGTCAAAAAACGACTCAGGACGAAAAGCGGGTCCCGGGGAATGGGTCGAGACCTCTTCAGTAGGCTTATGTCGGGCGTGTCCCCGTACAGGGGGATTGTCGACGAAAGATAAAAGATACTCCAAAAATGCTTCAAAAAGGTCAAAAATATTCCAAAAATAGTACCCAGACTATTTTTGGACTATTGTTTGATTATTTTTGGGGTATTTTTTTTCGTCGAAAATCCCCCTGCAGGGGGACAGGCCCGACTTAACAGCATGCACGTCGAAGAGAAGTCGGACTGCCAGCAGGTGCCCCCCCCACGGAGGCTTCCTGTCCCCCGATGGAGGGCCCCGAGGGGGCTCGCAGAGGCCCTGGGGCACCGCAGGCGGCCCAAAGAGTTCGACGCCAAAAGCGTACCCCTTGGAGGGCTTCTCCGAAGGGTTTAGGCGACCCGTCCTCCTCCTCCTCCTCCTCCTCCTCCTGCTCCTCCTCCTCCTCCTCCTCCTCCTCCTCCTCCTCCTCCTCCTCGGGTCGCCTACGGCCCCGGGGGAAATCGTGCAGTGCCCCTTCCCGGGGTGTCGTATCGCACGTGTCTTCTCTGCGGTCAGACGCTTCGGCTCAGCACGTCGCTCCGCCGGTTCTGGCCCACCGCGCTTCGGCTCGACACGCTGTCCACGTCCCCATCCCAAGCGCCAGCGTCTCGAGCTGTTCCCCGCCTCCCCCGCCCCGCGGAGCGGAGCGACACGTCAGCCGCTCGCAAGGCATCGCGTGTCGCCAGGGCCACCGCCGCGGCACGCGAAGCGGACGGCTCCGGCCGCATCGCTCCCCCATCCCTTGACGCCGGATCCGCCGTCGTTTGCTGATTTTCTGATTGGAAATCGTGGCGGACATGCCATCGCTCCCCCATCCCCTGACGCCGGATCCGCCGTCGTTTGCTGATTTTCCGATTGGAAATCGTGGCGGACATGCAATCGCTCCCCCTCCCCTGACTCCGGATCCGCCGTCGTTTGCTGACTTTCCGATCTGGAAATCGTGGCGGACGTGCAGCCCCGACGACGCGAGCCATTTTTTGGTCGGGGCGGCGCGAGAGCGGGCCTCTTCCGGTCAAGAGCTAGGCGTCAGAGCCCCGAATCATCAGGGGTAACTCGGGTCAGGGCTAACTCGGGTTCGTTTTTCGGGATTCCGAACCCGAGTTATCCCGGACCCGAGTTACCCCGGATAACTCGGGCGTCCAGAGCCCCACATCATCAGGGGTAACTCGGGTCAGGGCTAACTCGGGTTCCTTTTTCAGGAATCCAAACCCGAGTTACCCTGGACCCGAGTTACCCCGGATAACTCGGGCGCCCAACTACAGGGAGATTTTCGACGACAAAATTACAGATACCCCAAATATTACATTATCCCAGTGCGACCCTACCTAGGAGTTGGAACCCCTAGGAAAGCAGCATTAGTAGTAACAGTAACGCTAAGATAAAGCTAAGCTAAAGCTAAGCTAAAGCTAAGCTAAAGCTAAGCCACAGCTAAGCTAAATGTAAGCTAAAGCTAAGCTACAGCTAAGCTAAGCTAAAGCTAAGCTAAAGCTAAAGCTAAGCTACAGCTAAGCTAAAGCTAAGCTAAAGCTAAGGGACTGGGGGGAACCGCTCCCAGGGGACTGGGGGAACCGCCCGGGGCGCTTTGCACTGCCCGGCCCCTTTAAGCTAAGAGAGTAAGAACCCTTCTAGGCAGAGCCTAGGTAGGGAAAAAATAGTTCAAAAATAGTCTGGGGACAATTTTTTGAGTATCTTTTCACCTTTTTGGGGTATCTTTGGTGTATGTTTTATTCTTCGTCGAAAATCCCCCTGTGGGGGGGACACGCCCGACATCATGCTCGGGAGGCACGAAAGGGATTGTGAGTGAGGGCGGAGGTCTCTGCACCGAGGGGGGAGTAGGGGAGGAGTGCGAAGGAGGGCGGAGGGCTCTGGAGGAGGAGAAAGCCCTGACTCCGGATCCGCCCTACTTCGGCTTTTTTTCCAACTTAAAATTGCGTCGGAAATCCACCTATAAGAGGCCGAAAAAGTAGGGCGGAAATTGCTGCACCCAACATCAAATAGGGCGGAAACCCACAGAAACAGCAACAGAGAAGTAGGGCGGAAATTGGCACCAGCGGGGCTTGAAAAGTAAGGCGGAAATTCCAAGCCCCACTTACGAATTTCCCCAAAGTAGGGCGGGAGGTGGAGGTGGGAGGCGAGGGATTGGGAGTGAGGGCAAAGGTTTCTGCAGCAGGGGGGAGTGGGGGAGGAGTGCGAAGGAGGGCGGAGGGGGTCTGGAGGAGGAGAAAGAGGGGGGACTTGGAGTGCGGGCGAGGCACAAAGCGACGCGAAGAGGTTACGGATGGAGGAGGAGGAGGAGGAGAGGAGGAGGAGGAGGAGGGAGGAGGAGAGGAGGGAGGAGGAGGAGAGGAGGAGGAGAGGAGAGGAAGAGGGGGGGGACTTGAGGTGGGGGGGAGGTGTGGAGGGGGAGGAGGGCGGGCGGAGGGCGCGGGCCCGTCGCCCGGCTCGGCGGCGCGTCGCGCCGCGCCGGGTCGGGTCGCGGTCGGCAAGGGCGCGCACGGGCGAGGGGGGGGGGCTTGCAAAAAAAAAAAAAACATTTTTTTGCAAAGAAAAGGATTGCAAAAAAAGGATTGCAAAACAAAAACAAAAACAAAAACAAAAAACATTTTTTTTGGCAAACCAAAGGATTGCAAAACAAAGCACCAAAAAACAGTTTTTTTTGTTTGTTTTGCAATCGGGGGCCGAAGGCCCTTGCCGGCAAACCAAAGGATTGCAAAACAAAGCACCAAAAAACAGTTTTTTTTGTTTGTTTTGCAATCGGGGGCCGAAGGCCCTCCGAGAAGGGCCCGGCCCCCTGCGCTCCGGGGGGCCCTCCCTGCCCAGACCCCCCTCGAGCTATGAAAAAAGCACGACGGGAGGTGTTTCTCCTCCTCCTCCTCCTCCTCCTCCTCCTCCTCCTCCTCCTCCTCCTCCTCCTCCTCCTCCTCCTCCTCTCCTCCTCCTCCTCCTACCTCCTCCTCCTCCTCCTCCTCCTCCCCCCCTCCTCCTCCGCCTCCTCCGCCTCCTCATCCTCCGAAAAAAGCACGACGGGAGGTGTTTCTCCATTTTTGGGGCTCCGGGGGCCCTAAGGCCCTCGGGGTCGTCAAAAAACGACTCGGGACGAAGAACCGGTCCCGGGGAATGGGTCGAGACCTCGGGGGGTCGACGTCATGAAAAAATCATGACGTCGGGGGTCTGGGTGCCCCCCCGTGGGGGCGTGGCGCCTTCTGCAAGAGGCCGCTCGGGCCCCCCTCCGCTTCTCTCTCTCTCTCTCCCTCCCCTTTCCGCCTGGGATGCCGTGCGTGTGCGTGCGTGCGTGTGTGCGTGTGTCGGTGTGTCGGTGTGTCGGTGTGTCGGTGTGTCGGTGTGTCGGTGTGTGTGTGTGTGTGTGTGTGTGTGTGTCGGTGTATGTGTGTGTGTGTGCGTGTGTGTGTTTGTGCGTGTGTTTGTGCCTGCGTGCGTGCGTGCGTGCGTGCGTGCGTGCCTGCGTGCGTGCGTGCGTGCGTGCGTGCGTGCGTGCGTGCGTGCGTGCGTGCGTGCGTGCGTGCGTGCGTGTGTCAGCGTGTGTGTGTGTGTGTGTGTGTGTGTGTGTGTGTGTGTGC